TAAAGTGTCCCTAATGTGGGATGGATGCAGGCCGCTGCCAACCGTGCGATGTGGAAGTCATTGGGGGAGGCCTATGTTCAGCAGTGGACGTCCTGTGGCTGAAATGATGATGATGATGAATGTGGGATACCTGGACATACACGGATCGAATGCAATGAGAGAGCCGACAGTCTAGCGAGACAAGGGTTAGAGACGATACCTATTGGGTCAGAACTGATAGTAGGTACCTTTATCTAAAAGCTTAGGTACCTCATGGCCATAATATGGCCATATCCAAGAATAACAGGGCTGAATGGGAAAGCTCCAACGATATAAGCCTCTCCAAATCATTCCTAAAGGGAAATACAGGGCCATGAAGAAAACTTTTCAAAGGTATTCCCAAGCAATTACAGGTACGCAAACTGGGCATTGGAACGAATCACATGTCCCAAAAAATGGGCCTAACAACAGAAGCTCTCGAGCATGTGGAATACAAAGTGGAGTCCATGAAACACTTAATACTGTAAGGATGGGTCTGCTTGGGTCAGCATATCCGGCATCAGAAGACTATTAGGTAGCTTTCACTCAAACGCTTAATTCACTTTACTAATGGATAGGATTATTTTGGATGATAGGGAATAAAAAAGGGAGAATAAAGATCCTAATGGGTCGCTGTGGACTACGCTCAGGTGTGGGTCACACCTAAATGGTTGGCACCTATGGTTCATAAAATAACCCAGACAGCTTTGTATCAGCATTGGCTACTGGCAGTATATCAAGGGGTTAGCGTATAGGATCAGTTGCAAGCAACCGACTCAGTCTTCCCTTTATCCGACTGGTTGGGTGTGGACCAGAGTCGATAGCAACATGGAGCCTACATGGACCGATTTGCCCGTAGCTGCCGAAGCTTGCCTGGAAATGGTGAGATGTAAGTGCAAGAAGTAGTGCAGAAGCTGGTGCTGTCTGAAAAAACAACTATAATGGTCACAGCCGTAGCCTTTGTGTTAAAAATAATCTCCCGTACTATGATAATAATCAATCCTCACTTTCCTCACACTTACCTTTCCGTTATCACTGGTACAATAGTATGTAGAAATAAAAATGTTATTTAAAATAATAATAATAATCATTAGACGTTTAGACAAATTCAAGTTCTTTATTTAGTGCTTTCTTCTTATGATATTTTCATTAATACAATGTAATTAAACTATTTTCAACCTTATGTCTTACACATAGAGTTCAAAATTAATTGAAGAAAAAATACAAATCATGGTAGCATGATGTGCCAGGAACTCTAAATAAATTCTAAAATAATAATCTTTACTTGCTTATGAACCAAATAGTATGAATTCATGGATAAAAAAGCAATTACAGGTACGCAAACTGGGCATTATGGAACGAATCACATGTTCCAAAAAATGGGCCTAACAACAGAAGCTCTCGAGCATGTGGAATACAATGTGGAGTCCATGAAACACTTAATACTGTAAGGATGGGTCTGCTTGGGTCAGGATATCCGGCATCAGAAGACTATTAGGTGGCTTTCACTCAAACGCTTAATTCACTTTACTAATGGATAGGATTATTTTTGACGATAGGGAATAAAAAAGGGAGAATAAAGATCCTAATGGGTCGCTGTGGACTACGCTTAGGTGTGACCCTACATAAAATAACCCAGACAGCTTTGTATCAGCATTGGCTACTGGCAGTATATCAAGGGGTTCGCGTATAGGATCAGTTGCAAGCAACCGACTCAGTCTTCCCTTTATCCGACTGGTTGGGTGTGGACCAGAGTCGATAGCAACATGGAGCCTACATGGACCGATTTGCCCGTAGCTGCCGAAGCTTGCCTGGAAATGGTGAGATGTAAGTGCAAGAAGTAGTGCAGAAGCTGGTGCTGTCTGAAAAAACAACTATAATGGTCACAGCCGTAGCCTTTGTGTTAAAAATAATCTCCCGTACAATGATAATAATCAATCCTCACTTTCCTCACACTTACGAGTACCTTTCCGTTATCACTGGTACAATAGTATGTAGAAATAAAAATGTTAATTAAAATAATAATAATAATCATTAAACGTTTAGACAAATTCAAGTTCTTTATTTAGTGCTTTCTTCTTATGATATTTTCATTATTACAATGTGATTAAACTATTTTCAACCTTATGTCTTACACATAGAGTTCAAAATTAATTGAACAAAAAATACAAATCATGGTAGCATGATGTGCCAGGAACTCTAAATAAATTCTAAAATAATAATCTTTACTTGCTTATGAACCAAATAGTATGAATTAATGGATAAAATAAATATTTTTTTTCGACGCGCATTAAAATTCGCCCGCTGTGTCCTGAAGAAAAATTTTTTTTTCACCTACTTTTTTCAAAAAAAGTACCATACAATGGTACATATTTATAATCCTGATAAATGTAGCTTTCAGGACATATTTTTTTTATTAGATTATCTCCAGTGGCTTAAAAGTAAACGACGTTTATTTAAAAAAATACTTTTTGGTTTTTGTGAATTTTACTCCATATTTCTATTTTTTTGTATGAAAAGGCAAAAAGTTTGTTCTAAAAATAAATTCGCCATCCTTTAATTATCCGAAAATGACACCACACTTGCCCTTATACCCATAGTTTTGAAGATATGGGCCTTAAAGTGAAGCGCGGCAGAAGGAAACTTGCCCCCCCTCCCCCTGCTACCACAGGGGGGGCTCCCAATGTCTACCGACGGAAATCTACTCAGGAGCACCCAAAGAACAACTGGTGAAAAAATGAGCCTTCTATACCAAAGTGGAGGGGTTCTTGCACTAAATTCCCTACTATTACATCTGAGTGTGGTACAGAATAGAATGTAAGCAGCGACAGCAGCTTGCAAGATGGTTTCAACGGGTTTAACTACGAATGTTCTACTTTTGGTATCTCCATGGAGCTTTCCATAGAGATTAGAGAGGTTTTACTAATATTGTGTTTTTATTACAGTCTGGTGGCCGCAGCCAAGGACCGCAAGGCCAGGCTTGAGGACGCGAGAAACCTGTACCAGTTCTTGGAGGACCATGATGAGGAAGAAGGTAAGGTTTTATATTTCATATTCGTTCAGGAAACAGCAGTTCATTTTACACATAAACCCCGCTACAGAAGCATCAAAAACAAGTACTATTTTTCTTTCGAATTTTATTCTGGCACCATTAATTTATACATAAAAATTGTTTTGAAAAGATTTCTTTTATTTCAGTTAAACACTGAATTTAGATTTAATTTAATTTATTAGAATTTTGAATTATCTCAAATCATATCATAATTTTGACTTGAATATAAATGTGACTTGATTTTAATTTTAACTGCATTTGAAATAATATGAATTTAGGTTTAGTACGAATTTTATTTAGTTTTGAACTTGAGATGCAGTTCAAGATTTTTCTCTTGAGGTGGCGGATTCGACTCGTACTCACTCGTTTTGTCCTCAGGTAGTTCCTTTATGGAAATTGTTTCCTAAGCAGTTACTTTCTGTTATTGTTTGACTTTGTGGTTCCAAATAAAAGTGTATAAGTGCCCTGGAAAGGGCATATGTACTGAATAAAATATTTGAATTTGAAATAAAATACATTTTCGTTTCATTATAGGCAGTGGTAGGGTTAATACTGGGACGTGTAAAAGTGCTTTTTAAAAGCCTACTAGCGGCCGCCCGCGACTTTGTACGCGTGGATCCCGTTTTACGAGTACCACCTTCTTCTATCTTACGCGGTTTAGATTTTTTCATACAAATGTTTTTTCCCGCTAACTCCCGTGCCCGTGGGAATTTTGCAATATCCTGTTGTAACTAAGCTTTAAGTTTACTAAGGTACCTGCACCTGCATGCCAAATTTCAAGCGTCTAACTTAAGCGGTTTAGATTTTTCATACAAAAGGATTTTCCCGATAATTCCCGTTCCCGTGGGAATTTCGGGAATTCCTTTCTTAGTGCACCTCTACAGTACCTAAGCTACGTCCCTTCAAAATTTCAAGTGCCTACGTTTAGCCGTTTAGGCTGTGCGTTGATATGTTAGTCAGTCAGTTTCTCCTTTTATATACACTCGACAGCAAATAAATCGCACCACCCGCGACAAGCACTTTCAAACGTATGCATCCCCACTTCACACCAATATTGGTACCATTCAAAAGCCTAGTTCTAAACTTCATTTCATTATAGGAAAGGTTTTTACCCCAAAAATGTTTCTTTAGAAGGATCCAGAGTCACTTCTTAAAAAAATAGATAGTTACGCTTGAGCCAACTTTTATGGCTATAAAACTGTTAAGTTGGGATTAATCGCTATCCATCTGTTAAAGAGGACACGTGTGATCATTATTTGGTTTTATAACCATAAAATTTGGTCTAATTGATCCCAGAGGTGAGCCCAAAGTGAGGTCTTTTTTCAAGTCACATTTATGGTATATGTTAATCATTTATTAAGAAATTAAATGTGTTTTTCTTTAAGGATATTTATTGGGCTTTTAAATAACACCAATATTGTTGGGGCACCATTATTGTGTCAAAAGAAAATCTTTAAAGTTCGCGTCGCGGGTGGTTCGATTTATTTGCTGTCAAGTGTATTTAAATTTAGATACCTATTCAGATTTGCAAAAATAAACGAGTCTTTTCTTTTATAACAGGCTGGGTGACAGAGAAGCAGCGCATCTGCCGCGCGGACGTCGCAGCGAAGGATTTGCGCGCAGTGCTCGCGCTGCGACACAAACACGCGGCGTTGCGACACGAAATCAGGGCGAGAGACCATGTGGCGCAGAGACACCGCGCCAAGGGACAGAGGTAATGAGGGCTATCGTTTTTATACTTAACAGTTGGCACCCCTGGCGATTGACAGGACCTTACTCTACAGTGGCGCCATCTTGATGAGTGCAAATGCGATAGTCCTCCTACCACTTTAGCACTCACCAGTTGGTGCCACTGTCTTCGCTACTAGCAAGTGACAGGACCTTACTCTACAGTGGCGCTAACTGGTGAGCTCTAAAACGATAGCCCTCACTGTCGAGAACTAGAAATAACCAGCCCAAACCAAGTCTTAGATTTTGTTTCCAAGAGTCAGAGGTGAACCTGAAATAAATATGGAAGTGACATGGGAGGGGAATACAAAAAAAGGGGGGAATACAAGCCTGAACTTTTCTAAAGCACATCCAAAGTCTCGCTGACCTTTGACATGACAAAAACACCCTCTCAAGACGTTCCCATACGTCAGGAACTGACTCAGTTAGTTCGCAGCAACTGAGAAATAAATGTAAGGACGACAAGCATATGAATATTTTCTTCATAGGAGTATGAAAACCGTGTGTCCCATTCATGGGGCATTCACAGAATCCAAAGCATCCGTGCTTTATCTAAAACTAGCTGACCCGGCGAACTTTGTTCCGCCTTAATGGCAATAAATAAGCAGACTTTTTTTTTATTTCGAACGGGATAAAAAGTATCCTATGTCTTTCTCCTGGCTCTAAACTACCTCCCTGACAATTTTCAGCTAAATCGGTTCAGCCGTTCTTGAGTTATAAGTGGAGTAACTAACACGACTTTCTTTTATACATATATGTATAGATATGCCACGAAATACATACTCGTATGACGCAATGATCAATCTATCATAAGTCGCGCAGCGAAAGTTTAGACGAATACAATATTATTCTCATTTATGTAATATTTGACCACAACACATTACACATTTAAGTTTAATAAATATCGAATAGATTAGCTACCTCGCTCTTGCTAAATGTGTGAAGGCGAGACAGAAAGCACTTATCCGTCAGACTTCGCAAGAGCGCAGCGAGCGTATACCGATACAAATCCTTGCTTGCCTTGTCCGTTCAGCGCGGATACAAATCTTTGCATGTGTTGGTCGTCTCAACTCTCGCTGCGCGACCTATAACGACTACCTTACTGGTTATTTTTATGTATCATTGTTGTTCCCACTAGTTTAATCGATGCTAAGCACCCATTACCGGTTATTTATGTACCCATTGTTGTTCCTACTAGCCTGATCGACGCCAAGCATCCCAAGAGCGCCGAGATCGAGCGCCGGCTGTCCTCGCTGCAGCAGCAGTGGGCCACGCTCAAGGAACTGGACGACGCGCGCGACAAGCAGCTGGCAGACGCGGCCGAGGCGCACCAGGTGAGACACTTGGCTCCATCATCAGGCCTGGTTCAGTGGCCAGGTTCCTGGAAAAAAATTTCTGCAATAAATAGTTCCTGTAAAAAGAGTTCCAGCAAAAACAGCTCCTGCAATAACAGTTCCTGCAATAACAGTTCCTGAAAAAAAAGTTACTACAAAAAACAGTCCCTACAAAATAGTTCCTATTAAACAGTTCCTACAAAAAACGGGAGGTTTCCGTGGACACACGCCCTAAGCCGCCACTGGATTCCAGCATTTCAGCTTCAGATCCGTTAGTAGCAGTCCCCAGTTTCATGGCTGAGGCTTACCAGGTAAGAAGACACTTGGTTCGATCTCAGGCCAGCAGTCTCTCGCTGTCTCCAGTAGTCTGATCTACGCCAAGCACCCTAAGAGCTAAGGCGTCTGCCTTTGAGAAGCAGCTCGCAGACGCCGCCGAGGCTAAAAGCTCGTCCGTTTTTAGCTCGGTTGAGTTGGTGGTAGGACTTCTTCTAAGTTAGCCACGGACGAATGTCCAATTTTAGGAAAATAACTCGCGGCTCTGTGTCAATAGCCCTGGGGGACACCGTAGTGTTTTAGTGGGTAGGCTCCGCGGTCGGGGACCGAGTTCCACATAACCCACTAACCATCCTCATCGGTGGGTATGCGCAAAGCATTTCCTGACGGGGAAAAAGGACTTGGTCTAAGTCCACCTAGCTACGTACCACCATCTTACAACAGTGTAACAGATTTGTTGTGTTTCGGCAGTTGATGTAAGATTTTGTTTCAAGTGTTTTTTTTATCTAATCTTATTTCGTGATGTGTTAAGAGTACAAGTAAGTTGGACCTATGACCCGTTAGCTCTCCAAAAATAGTCTCCTATATCCTAAGATGTTTTTATAGTATATGTCATTGCCTATGTCTAGTGTTTTGATTTAATAACACTATATGTTTCGTTCACAGTTCTACGGCGATGCCAACGAAGCCGAATCCTGGATGAAGGAAAAGCGAGCGCTGGTTGCGACCGAAGACTGCGGCCGCGACGCTCACGAAGCCGCTGCCTTGTTAGCTCGCCAGAGGGCGTTGCATGACGAGCTCAGAGCTCACGCCGCTGAGCTAGCAGCCTTGGAAGCGAACGCTGAGAGACTAACCGCTAGAGGGATACATACGCTACAGGTGAGATAGGAGAAAGATAGTAGCAAGCTAGTACTTGCTTGCTAGCCACTATAGTCTGGTCTGTGAGCACGTAGAAGTTTGTCCAATGACCCCAAGCTACCCATCCTTATCGCTCGCGCGTAATTATGTTGCTATCGCGCTCGCACACTCACTGCGGGCGCCCGTCGCACAGTCGCGTGCTCACGGACCAGACTATAGTAGAAGGGAACTAGTAGCAAGCTAGTGCTTGCTTGTTAGTTACTAGTGTAGCTACTAGCTCGCCAGAGGGCGCTGCATGACGAGCCCAGAGCTCATGCCGCTGAGCTAGCAGCCTTGGAGGCGAATGCTGAAAGATTAACCGCTAGAGGAATACATACACTACAGGTAAGATACGCTACAGATAGATACTCTACAGGTGAGATTAGGAAAGAAGAACACGCTACAGTTAGGATAGGATGAAAGAAGTAGCTGCTACTGTAGGATAGTAGAAGGGAACTAGAAGCAAGTATTAGTGGTTACTGGCTCGACAGAGGGCGTTGCATGACGAGCTCAGAGCTCACGCGGCTGAGCTCGCAGCCTTGGAAGCGAATGTTGAGAGATTGACCGTTAGAGGGTTACATACGCTACAGGTAAGATAGGAGAGTGAAGAAAATGCTACAGTATCATAAAGCCCGGTCTGTAAGCACGTAGAATTTTGTCCAATGACCCCAAGCTACCCATCCTTATCGCTCGCGCGTAATTATATTGCTGTCCCGACTGTGCGACTGGCACCCGCAGTGAGTGTGCGAGCGCGATAGCCACATAATTACGCGCGAGCGATAAGGATGGGTAGCTAGGGGTCATTGGACAAAATTCTACGTGCTCACGGACCAGACTATAGTAGAAGGGAACTAGTAGCAAGCTGGTGCTTACTTGTTAGTTACTAGTGTAGCTACTAGGTCAGTAGAGGGCGCTGCATGACGAGCTCAGAGCTCACGCCGCTGAGCTAGCAGCCTTAGAAGCGAATGCTGAAAGATTAACCGCTAGAGGGATACACACGCTACAGGTGAGATATCTGTAGGGTAGTCGTAAGAACGCTACAGGTAAGATAGGAAAGTAAAAAGTATTTTATTTGCCAAGAAAACGTTTATAAACAGTTCTTCTAGCGGCAGCTGCTGCACTAAGCTGTGCTCGCGGCAGCCAAAAGTAAAGCTTCAGCCAAACCAACGCGTGCAGATCGCCACTGCACGTGCATAATAAGCCAATGTCGTCCTGTCATTGGTCGCGCGTCCTGTCATTGGTCGTGCGTCCGGTCATTGGTCACGCGTCCTGTCATTGGTCGCGCGTCCTGTCATTGGTCGCGCGTCCTGTCATTGGTCGCCTGTCCTGTCATCGGTCGCGCGTCCTGTCATTGATCGCGCGTCCTATCATTGGTCGCGTGTCCTGTCATTGACCTATGACCGCCATCGTTGATGCGACCTGCACGCGTTGGTTAGGTTGAAGCTTAAGTAAGATAGAAGCAAGCTACTGCTTGCTTGTTAGTTACTAGTGTAGCTACTAGGTCAGTAGAGGGCGTTGCATGACGAGCTCAGAGCTCACGCCGCTGAGCTAGCAGCCTTGGAAGCTAATGCTGAAAAATTAACCGCTAGAGGGATACATACGCTACAGGTAAGATAGGAGAGAGGAGCACTGTAGAGTGAGAGAGTTAGGATGGGAAAAAGGATGTAGTGTATCAGCTACTGTATGATAGTAGAATGGAACTAGAAGCAAGCATTAGTGGCTACTGGTCTGGTAGAGGGCGTTGCATGACGAGCTCAGAGCTCACGCGGCTGAGCTAGCAGCCTTGGAAGCTAATGCTGAGAGATTGACTGCTAGAGGGATTCATACGCTACAGGTGAGATAGGGCAGGGCACATAGTACGTAGAAATGAGGGTCGATGGGACAGCAAGGTTCTGGAAAACGCAGCGTGAGGCGTCCACCCACAAGAAGGACCGACGACATCATAAAGGTAGCAGGAAGGCGCTGGATGCAGGCCGCTACCAACCGATGAACATGGAAATCATTGGGGGAGGCCAATGTTCAGCAGTGAACGTCCTATGGCTGAAATTATGATGATGATGAAGTAAGATAGTAGTAAGGTAGAAGCAAGCTAGTGCTTGCTTGTTAGTTAATAGTGTACCTACCAGGTCGGTAGAGGGCGCTGCATGACGAGCTCAGAGCTCACGCGGCTGAGCTAGCAGCATTGGAAGCTAATGCTGAAAGATTGACTGCTAGAGGGATACATACACTACAGGTAAGATAGGAGAGAGGAGCACTGTAGAGTTAGAGAGTTAGGATATGATAAAGGATGTAGTGTAGCAGCTACTGTAGGATAATAGAATGGAACTAGAAGCAAGCATTAGTGGTTACTGGTCTGGTAGAGAGCGCTGCATGACGAGCTCAGACCTCACGCGGCTGAGCTAGCAGCCTTAGAAGCGAATGCTGAGAGATTGACCGCTAGATGGATACACACGCTACAGGTGAGATAGTAAAAAAAGGAGAAGCTAGTAGTTACTAGCCCAGCTTAGAGAGCCGAAAATACACTTAAAGTGTTAGCGACGTCAAGAAGAGTCAGGATTAACGTTAGCAACATCATGTCAATTGGTTCAAATCAACTAATTAATCTGTTTCGTAATTAAGAAAATGAACATGAAATTTTCGCCAAAAAGGCAATACCGTAGCGAAAACCATCAGGCTCTCTCGCTTACTCACTCGGTAGGCCTCTTTCTTGCATTATCTGATCTCTCACTTCCACAAAATAGCTTCTCTTTCACACTTTTCTGGAAAATCTGGAATGTTCAGGAAAAAATAGAGAAGAAACGAGACGGAAATATCGGACCTCTCGCTTCGAACATTCTAGAGCGTGAGATAGCAATATGTTTTGTCCTTGTCTTGCACGGATGGTCCGTTGCGCGAGGCAATACCGTAAAGAGAGCCGTTTTAGGTTTTTTGTCAATAACTTCGCCAATTTTGGGAATTTTGAGATGAAACTTTTTGTATAATGTAGATAATTTAATTACGCATCTGTATAAAATAAGAAACCATTGTAAAACTACCTGCCAGTTGGAGAAAATTAGCAAAATCTGTGGATTTCCCGAAGACAGGGATAGCAATAGCGTGTGAAAGCGGGACGGAGATAGCCGCTCCCCATAAATACGGAATGAACCGCTCCAGCTGGCATGTATTGTTTTGTTCAGTTCAGAGAACAAGTGCTCCAAGCAACAAGTGATCTGAAGAAGCAAGAACTGAGAAAAGGAAGCGAATAATAAACGCGAGAAGTCTCAGCAAGTGAAATAGTGGTTTTATTCCTGCAAGTAGCACCTACTACGCCTGACATAGTAAGGGCAAGCTCTCAACGGCAGTCATCATCGTCCGGTCAGCGCTCTCGAACACACACAAACGCATACAGTCCACTGCAATCCACCACATAAAGTAAAAAACAATCCTGGAAAAGTTGTACGGAATTGTCACTTATAACATGTCCAAATATACTCGTATTTAAACATTCCCATCTTTTAACATTAAAGTTGAAAAGGATTGGTCGTCTAAATAGATTAGTCGTTGCATAAATTTGCCTTTCGTTATTTATAATTAGTTGCTCGATATTATGTTTAGGTTTTGGTTTGTCGGCAAATCACAGGAACTTTTCTAACAAAATATACTTTCCGTACTAGCAGTCTTATTTTCCTTTCACCTCTAACATAATATTCTTATGACATAATTCAAAACCCTCTAAATTCTGTCCCCAGCTCCCCACAGAAGTCGAGTCAGCAGCGGCTTTAGAAGAGGAAGAATGGGTCAAGGAATCCCGGCTGGTGCCGACAGAAGTTTGGGAGGAGGAGCCCGTGGAAAGACTGGAACATCGCACTGTTACCGAGGAGCGCAGCGTGCCGCAGGTATGTTTCTATCCCTTTCATGCAAAGCAGGATGCTGGTATGAGTGACGGAGACAGGAAGATCCGAAAGCATCTATGATTGTGAGACTATCGCAGCGTGCCACAGGTAATATGATCATCCTTTCTCGCACTAAGCCATATGGTTGGCATGAGTGACAGGGACAGATATCTGTCTTATACCCGAAAGCATCTGATTCTGTGACTAAGAGACAAACTCTTAACATTGTTGTCCAAATTCTTGAATGGTTCTATCCCTCTCACATAAAGTGGGATGCCGGCATGACGATGACAGATATAAAAGGAATCCCGGCTAGTTCCCACCGAAGTTTGGGAAAGAGCCCGTGGAAAGATTGGAACACCGCACCGTCACCGAGGAGCGAAGCGTGCCGCAGGTATGTTTCTATCCCTCTCCAGCAAAGCAGGATGTCGGCGTGAGTGACAGTGACAGATAGAATCCCGTCTGGTACCCACCGAAGTTTGGGAGGAAGAGCCCGTGGAGAGATTGGAACACCGCACCGTCACCGAGGAGCGAAGCGTGCCGCAGGTATGTTTCTATCCCTCTCCAGCAAAGCAGGATGTCGGCGTGAGTGACAGTGACAGATAGAATCCCGTCTGGTACCCACCGAAGTTTGGGAGGAAGAGCCCGTGGAGAGATTGGAACACCGCACCGTCACCGAGGAGCGAAGCGTGCCGCAGGTATGTTTCTATCCCTCTCACGCGAGGAGGGATGCTGGCATGAGTGACAGAGACAGGTAGACCCGAAATATTCTGTGAGGTCCCCTACAATGTTACCCGAAGTTTAGAATGTTTTGATCCTTCTCATGCAATGCGAAATGCTGGTGACAGTAACAGATAACTTCGAATCCACGTTACGTAAACAGCGTATTAGAGTAAGCGCTGCTGGAAGGATTCATGGTCAGTCCAAATCGAGGTTTTCCACCATCCAACTATAGTTTCCACCACTGCTACGCCTGTACAGTTAAGATCTACAGCTTGACAAAAATCAAAATCAAAAGTATTCATTCAGTTTAGACCACAAGTGGCACTTATGAACGTCAAAATTATTATAGAAAATAATAAAAAAGAAAAGTTAGCCCTTATGGGGCACTTTACATGTCTCCTTATCTTTTGGGCCCTACCAGCGCTTCGAGACAAACATATGGCAAGTGCTGAGAAGAAACGCCGGAACAAACTCAGTCACCACTTATTGCCAGGAATTATTTATCTAACGGTAAGAATAGTCAAATTTAAGTACATCAAATATGTGCAGACTGAACTGACCACGCATCCTTGTCATCAATATAGTCTCGAACCTTGTAAGTACCCTTTGACTGTAGAATCAGTTTTTAAACAGGCCCAGACGATAGCTTCTAGATTTTAAACGAGTTCAAAACCACCTCTAGTACCCATCGGAACCCCTTAACAAATTCTCCATGGCGTCATAGTAAAATTAACTTTAGTAATCCCTAATTTAATATGTTCTATTCAATTCCTACAGGTCAAGGCCCTCTACGCTTTCACCGGACAAGGCATTTCGATGCAGAAGGGCGAGGTGATGTTCCTGATCAACAAGACCAATCCGGACTGGTGGTCGGTGCGGAAAGCTGACAGGACCGATGGCTTTGTCCCCGCTAATTATGTGCGAGAGATCGAGCCGAGGGTTGTGCCGGTAAGTGAGAGCGATTGGTGATAGCGTTAAGAATGTTACGTTTGTAATTATAGAGTAGAGGGAGACTCATTGTTGCGTAAAAATAAAAAGTCACCTAAATTAAGTCATTTTCTGCACATTGAAACATTGTTCAATAAACAAAATAAAATTGCTGTCGAAAAAGTGACGTAGCTAGATTCTTGTGTGTGTATCATAAAGTTAATATATATTATTTGTGTGTATAAAATGTACACATTCATACTTTTATAGAAACGCAAATTACCTAACTGCTTGTTAAATTTAATGCATTTAATTTCAAAGCTATGAAGAACTTTTTTTAATTTGTCTTGTAATTGTTGCTGGATTCAACTATCCAGCTTTTAATAATTCATACTTATGTAGGTACTTATGCCTAATGCTGTCACAGATCCTACAACAAACGATTTCTTCCCAGGTGCAAGTTCGCCGCCCAGAGAAAGTCCGTACTGTCCAGCGCGTGAAGAAGACGGTCCTAGTGAAGCAGGTAATTTTCTTTTGTTTTATCTTTCTCGTCCCAACTCTTTGGCAGTGGATCTACCCACAAGTTTCATTAATATATTCTTATAATCTTTTTCATTTAATTTTTTTTTAAAAAAGAGGAAAAAAATTATAGTCCAACAACTGAAACGTCAAGTCAGATGTGTAACAGCCCAATATTGATAGTAGCACAAAATCAAAATTATTTATTCAGTTTAGACCACAAGTGGCACTTATGAACGTCAATAGAAAATAATAAAAAAAGAAAAGGTAGCCCTTATACAGAATAATAATAAGTACTACGTAATAGTAGCGCCCTCCTGTAAATGTCATATCTGGGACAGTTCAGTGTTCTAAAGTCCATACGGAGTGGGAAACTTTTTTGGCAACATTTTAAAAATGATTTTTGTTTTCTATATGTTGTGTTATTTGATTGCTAAATAAAGTTATTCAATATCTATTCAAAGATAAATAAGTATTTCTATTTTTATTTCTTTCATCCAGGTAGTGCCAGTGCGTCGTCCGCGGCCGCACGCCCGCCGCGCGTCCCGCGCCGCCCCCGCCCGTCTGCCCACCGTTGAAGACAGGCGAGCGGCTATCAAGAAAGATTACGGTGAGATTGGAATCTTAAGGTTAATCCTAGACAGTTCTAGTACTAGGGTCGAGGTGCAGAGAAGTCCGTTGCACAAGCGATGTCCCCAATACCGATCAGCTGTAGCTGATCGAGAAGCTTGGGCAATGAGCGTAAACTCGAGACCACGGCTACTGGTCGAAGAACCTGGATTGATCTAGTCTTTAGGAGAAACAATAAGCTTTGTGAAGCTGAGTCACTGTGGAAACTATGGTGGTAGACACAAGAGAGATTGTGTTCATTCAGTTTTTGAGAGCCTACGAACAATCAAGTTGTGTAAAGGTGAGACACTGTGGAAAAGGGTGGTGGTACGAAGACGGACTGCGAATTCACATGCTTGCTATGAAATGTTATTGCTGCCCCTGTAATCAAAATGTCCCCTGTAATGAATGCCTACAATCAATTAATTTTATTTTTTACACTGTTTAAATTGATTTACTATTGAATTTCGAGATAGATAGTTTCATCACCAATTTTTGGTTGAGTAAAGCGTGGGTTGCAAGGAGTTTGATCCGAGCAATCCAAGCGTCAATATTGTTTAGCGTGTACCGATAACACTCAAACATTAGTGGAAGAATGGTGGGGCGCGTCTTCGTGGATGAAACGATCTATAAACTCCTTGTTTGTTACAGAGGAGCTCCTCCAACTCTCGGAGGCTCGCCGGGCCCAACTAGAAGACGCAATCCAGCTGTACGGCTTCTTCGCGGAGTGCGACGACTTCGACAAGTGGATGAAGGAACGCGAGCGGATGCTGCGGACTGATGACGCGGGAGACAGCGTGGACACGGCTAAGAGGAAGTACGAGGTGAGAGGATTACCAGGTCTACAGAGCCTCGTACGAGATGAGGAGAAGAATTGTATCTTTTTAGAGACCAGGTGAGAGGATGGCGTCTCTAAAGATACCCATGTGGCAGATGAGGGGATATATTGTCTCTTTTTAGACTTAAGACTTAAGTACCAGGTGTGGATGGGGGTTATGTGTCTCTTCAGAGACGTACGAGCTAAAGTGATGCCGTGTCTCTTTAGAGACTCAAGTACGAACTGAGGCGATGACGTGTCTCTTTAGAAACTCAAGTACGAGCTGAGGCGATGACGTGTCTCTTTAGAGACCCAAGTACCAAGTGCCGGGATGACGTGTCTTTTTAGAAACCCTAGTGTGTGTTAGAGACGCGAGTGCGACGACTTCGACAAGTGGATGAAGGAACGCGAGCGGATGCTGCGGACTGACGACGCGGGAGACAGCGTGGACACGGCCAAGAGAAAGTACGAGGTGAGGGGATTACCAGGATCTAGGGCATTGTTTTTCAACCTTTTTAAACACCGACCTATGTGAAACCACGGAGCTACACTGGGGCGCCGAAATGTCAACGCCCATGTGACATCTGTCTTCGAAACCCAAGTATGTACCAGGTGTAGGCTGGGGTGACGTGTTTCTCTTAAAGACCTAAGTACCTGGTACTTAGGTGGGGATGATGAGTTTCTTTAGAGCTAGGGTCTTTAGATGAAGATATTTATCATCAGAATCTTTGAAGACCCATAAACCAGGTGAGATGAAGTGTCTCTTTAGATACTGAAACTACTGAATAGTGTCTTTAAAAACTAAAGTACCAGGTGTAAGAGTTAATTTGACACATAGTCAAAATTTTAACTTAAATACACAATATTAGTATCCACGACCTTATGCTAGACAAGTACTAGCTTTCCGCCCGCGGCTTCGCCCGCGTGGAATTGTCTGTCACAGAAAACCTTTATCGCGCGCGTCCCTGTTTTAAAAACCGGGGTAAAAACTATCCTATGTCCTTTTACAATCTTAACTTTTCTTCACCCAGAAATTCGTCACGGACCTGTCAGCGGCCTCCAAGCGCCTCGAACACATCGACGCAGCAGCAGAACAGCTGGTGGCCGCCAAGCACAGCCAGGCCGGCAAGGCGACCGCCAGGAGGCAGCAGCTGAAGCAGCAGTGGGACCGGCTGCTGCGGCTCAAGCAGCAGAAGGAGAAGAGCTTGGAAGGCGCTTCCAGGTGAGTGAGATAAGTTTGGGAGTAATATTGAGTGTGGAACGCTTTAAGTAAAAACCCTGGGAGTTTTAGGAGTTCGGGATTCGTGATAGGTGTGGGGGCTGTAGAATGTTGTAGGAATTTAGTAGGCTAAGTGACATTTAGGTGAGCCGTAAAGTTTTCTTATAGCTGTCGTCGCGACTCCGCGACTCTGTTAGCTAATATATGAAATTGACAAGAATGGCCAGTGTACGTAGTCGCTTAAAGAGCTGCAAAGTAGTTGCATACGTAAGTACTTGCAAACAGGGGTTAGCAAGCCAAGCAGGTGGGACAGTTATAAGAGGTGGTAGTCGCCAAACACAGCCAGGCCGGCAAGGCGACCGCCAGGAGGTATAATGAACCGACCAGAATCTTTGAATCTTTGAATCTTTGAGCGTTGAGAAGAGCTTGGAAGGCGCTTCCAGGTGAGTGAATTAGGCTTGGGAGTTTTAGAAGTTAGGGAGTAATATTGAGTGTGGAGGATAACCCTGGGATTATTAGGAGTTCGAGAGTTCTGTTGGGTGTGCGGGCTGTAGAATGATGTAGTATTTAGTAGATTAGGTGACATTTGAGGAATAGATACAACTTTCGATAGCGCTTCGGGGGAGGAAGCAGCTTAGGGGACTGCTATTGTGTATGGATTTGTTCTGTGACAGGAAGAAACATAATTTACTTTTACAAACTAAACGGTATTTCACTTTCGGCCCTCGACCTCATGGTTAAACATAGTCCTTCGAGCCGGATGAATAAATAGCCTACAGTCTCACTGGAGATCGTAATTAATTTGGACTGGAAGCTATATAGACTACATAGAGCCTACTTCAGACTCCACAATAACCTGTAACTATTCTCCTAAATAATCTTTATTTTCATCTCCAGCGTGGAACTCTTCGGCCGCACCTGCGATGAGGCCCTCGACTGGATGGCCGAGAAGGAACAGCAGCTGGCAGCCAGCAACGCGCCGCCTTCCGACCTGCGCACAGTGCAGGCCTTGCAGCGACGCCACGCACAGCTGGAGAGGGAGTTGGAGCCGCTGAGGGAGAAGGTGTCTACTGTCAACCTGCTGGCCACTGAGTGAGTACACAGCAGGTGACATTAACGTACTGAATTCAGACCTGCACCGTTCTGGAGACAGCCACACATAGCTGGAAGCACTCGAGAGGTGTCCATCGTCACTGTTGGCCACTGAGTGAGTATGCAGCAGGTGACAGTAGCTTACAGCAAGTAACGCACCATCTGCGTCCACCTGCTGATTACTGAGTGTCAACCTGTTGGCCACTGAGTGAGTACAGCAGCTGTCAGTAGCTCACAGAAAATAACGCACCATCCGCGTTAACCTTCTGGCCACTTAGTGAGTGTAACCTTTTGTTGCTGTCAGCTGTCAGTATATTGAATCTGCTGGCCACTGAATAAATATACAGCAGCTGCGCCAGCGAAAACAGCATCTTCCTACCTTAAGACCTTAAGGCTTGATTTCCTTCTAACTTGACGTCGGTAACCGGCATCGGTCACGTATAACCACAGAAAAGACCCGCACTGCGAAACCGATCGCTGTACAAAAAAATCATGTTTTGGCTGTATGCGCATCCTTTTTGTGGGATTTGAGGATACCACTATAAGGAAGAAGGAATCGCTTCCTTCCGAGCGGGTGCTGTGCTCGGGGACAAAGGTCCAGTTATTACCATCTCGGTTTTTCTATATATACTTAGTTGGCAGAGAACTCTGTCACTGCGATGCAGGTTTATAGGCGCGGTGGCGTGTGCCATAGTAAGGTAGCTGTCAGCGCCATCTGTTGGTTGATGACTGTAGTGGCGTGTCGATAGATGTCGCCAAAAATCAAATTATAACTCAAAACTATTCTTCTTCACCTCATCACCGTCATGCTAATATCAACTCTATTCCCACAGCGTCAAGAGCCAATACCCCAACGAGCGGGCGAACGTGGAAGCGCGCCAGCAAGAGATCAAGGCGGTATGGGAGCGGTGCCAGGCGCAGGCCGCCGAGCGACGCTCCCGGCTGGAAAGCGCCGTGGGACACCAGATCTTTGGCAGGAGCAGCCAGATGCTGCAGGATTGGCTGCAGGTAATGATCTTTCATTTCCACAGCTTTCATTTGATATTTGTAAGTTGATAATAATTTCATGATACAAACATAAAACAAACTCTTAAAACTAATTTATTTTTGTAAGTAGGCTTTTAAAAAGCGCTTTTACACACTCACTTTTAATCTTCTATCACTCGCACCATAAGCCACAATTTTAGGGCAGTTTCGTTTGGCGCTGAAAATATAGCTTCTCTTCGTTGCTACTCTATTGACAGAGTGGGCGTGGTGGTCAAGATATGAGTCAAGAGTGTAACGACCATTTGGTCTGGTGCCAAACTTCATAATCCGTCGCCATTTCTCCAGTATTTCCCTTTTCTTACATTCGTGGACATTGGAGCGCGTTTTGTGACCGGTCCAACGCTTGAGTGCCCAGTGGGCCTTATTACAAAAAAGTTAACCGGGACGAACTTTGGTTTAAAATGACATTTCCATACTAAGTGTCAATTTAAACCAGAGGGTTCAAACAGAGTCTAACTTTTTGTATTATGGAGGATAGTCTCAATTTTTTCATGCGCAACGAATCGTTCTCCAGTGTCGTTTCTATACGTAATATGCTCCAAAAAAAAGCGAGAATATTAATTAGAATAGATAGCCCTGTTTATAATGTGCAAGGATATTCATTGATTGACATTTCCCCCAGAATGTGCACGAGCAGCTGTCATCCGAAGCATCGGCTAAGGACGTGGCGACGGCGGAAGCGCTGCACAAGAGACACCAGGAGCTTGGCGATGACATCAAGGCGCACGAGGATGAGTGAGTCGCTTTATGATACTTTTGCTAGCTTCTGTGTTGTCCTTTATTAGTATGCATGTGGGTTGCTTTTTCAGCAAAGCTAGGATGCGTGTCATGATGATTTCTTATTTATTTATTTATTTAAAGGCACAACCACAGAATACAATTCAATAAAATTACAATGATAACTTAACTATCGTATCGTAGTATTGTATCGATTTTGAACGACAAATTATGGTCAATACTATGTTGTTTGTGATCCCACGACCTAATGACGGTCGCGAGTAGCACCTGAATTCGGGCAGTACAGGGAAAGACCATGGTCCAGTAGAGGACATGGGCTTGTCTTAAATCGATAAGATTGTATGTGTCCTAGTCATACTGGATACTTATGGGGTTTGCTTGTAAAGATCTTTAAAAACTTTATAATTGTTGCAATTTACGTCGAGCTTTACATGTGTGGTGACTCGCTACTGTTCGTTTTTCAAAAGCTTTGATAGACTTTACACTATCGTTATGTGCATGTGCACGTACACACACACAAGTAAAGCTCACTCGCCTTCCTGAGTTGCAAGAACTATACACGGAATACTATACGTTATGATGAGAGTTTGAAGCTTGTTTTTTCGAGCGAGCAATTTGTATTCATATTGCTCTTAGTTTTCATGAAAATATTTAGTGAGATTCTGTTTACTGTGTCTGAAATCGACGCTTCAATCCGTACGTTGCATTTGTCCCCAGGTTCAAAGAGGTGATCGGGCTGGGCAAGCAGCTGGTCGGCAACAACCCGTCGCTGACCGACGTCGCCGACAAGATCAACCATCTGCACGACGAACAGAAGGCCGTCGAGAAACGTGAGTATATGTATTGTTTGAAAATTGTATTGATTAAACTTTAAATGTCGGCAAGGGGATTTGTAGACTTTTATTTTAGCCTTAGGGGATGTTTAGACATCCCCTAAGGATATCCGTTCAAAGTTAAAATTTAGATTCATTACATCAAGGTGTATATAAATTACCTTTTCTTTTTGTTCTACGATTTTGCTCAGTTTAGGAGATAGAGTTAATTTTGTGATTTATCCATAACTATCACCCATGGTTGGTTTTTAGTTTTTTTCTCACTCTGGAAGCTTCTCTAGCGTAAGTGAGTAAAAACAAACAACAAGTGCTCGCCAAAGTGAGAAAAAAATTAAAAACCAACCATACATAGGTGATAGTTTAGGATAAACCACAAAATTAACTCTATCTCCTAAACTAAGCAAAGTCATATGACATACAGTCGTGGTCAACTAATTAGGGACGTTATATGACTAAAACACAAGACCGTCTCTCCAGCCCGAAAAAAAAAATCTTCACGAGGCTTTGTAGCTTGTGCCTATTAATAACAAGTAATTTGGCTAGTATTCTAAATATTTAAAGGCCAGAAAAGAAACTAGCTAGTTGCGATCAATATTTTTAAAATAAATAAATCATTGCCACCTACACATTTATTGACCTAGGGATGGACAACTAATTAGGGACACGTAACACTTTCACTGTAAATGTAAATAAATTTCTAAAGAAATATTATTCCAAACACCATTAAATGCCACGAAAAGCTGATTTTTAGTGCCAGTACGTTGAGCTGCAACTTTTTCCTTCGTTTCATACCATAAGCTCTATAGGGCTTAAGTCTGAGTTGTTTTCGGGCCAATCTAGTACCGTCACTGACTGTTGCGCTAGGAATTATTAAACAGAGTACGCGGTATGGTTTGGGTCGTTATCGTGTTGAAATGTTCATGAGACTGGTAAGACTTCTTCAGCATACGATAGCATCGTTTTCTCCAATATTTATTTGTATTGGAATTGCTCAAGTTTAACTTCAGTTCTTTTTATAGGTTACACTCTATGTCCAGAAAAACAGCCCCAGATTTTTATATTGCCGCCTGTATGTTTCACCTGCTTCTTCGTTTACTTTGGTATCATTTCAGACTTTACAGGTCGTCGCGCGTATTGTCTGTAATCGGATGAAATAAGATTTATCTTGATCTCATCAGAAAACAGCACACAGAGCAAAAGCCTAATGTCCATACTTTCTTGCAAACGCCAATCTTGCTTCTTTGTGTTCCATCTTCAGTAGTGGAACTTTTCGAGGAATTCTTCCTACAAGCTTTGCCTCCACCAGTCACCTTCTGACGGTCCTCGCAGATACTCCAGCAGTCGGTTCTGGTCACAAAATCTCGCTCTTGATCAGAACGAAACCCTTAAAGGGGTCTCTCATTGCGAGAGTGACCATGCTGCGATCATCTTGTGGGGTTGTTTTTATTGGTCTCTTCCTTCTAGGCATACTTTCTGTGGTTTCATGATTTTGAAATAAGCCACTGCATCGTAGATTCATGTTTTTGGAACATTTCAGATGATCTGAAATTTACCGGTATGGCCATCCACACTGATGAAGATTGATTATAACTTAGCGCATTGTTGCTTTTCTTTCAGCCCATTACCATTAATAATTTGATGAGTTTTTAACTCGCAAGATAAGAATATCGCTTTAAATTGACGCCGAAATTACAAATGAACAGAATAAAAGTTATTACTTTTTATTTTTTTTTTAATTTAGAAGGAAAAACTTAAGCGTCCCTAATTAGGTGGCCAGACCGTCCGTACCATAATTACCGATTCATGTGATTTGATTAAGATTTTTTATTAAGTTAGTAAGTTTTTTTGTTGTTATTGTATTCTGTTAAATAGAGTACTTGATAGTCAATATGTTTACAAAGTAACAGCCAGTAATATTGAATGAAGCTCACAATAATAGGATATGAACACTTAGTATTGCTTAGTATTCTATCTGTCCCTAATTAGTTGACCACGACTGTATATATATACATGGAGGTGATTTCGATACACCTTGATGTAAGGAATCTAAATTTTAGCTTTGAAGGTCAACTCTCTGGCCACCCTGTATAAGTAGTCTTCTTTACCTCAATGGGCATAATTAGACTATGTATATATTTATGTATCTTTCCACAGACTGGGCGGAGAAAGACGCGCGTCTAAAGCAGCTGGTGCAACTAGCAAGTTTCAACCGCGAGGCCGACCACATCGACGCGGCCAGCGGCGCGCACCTGGCCTGCCTCGACTACCGTCATACTGGGGTACGTACACATCATCATCATCATCATCTCAGCTATAGGACGTCCACTGCTGAACATAGGCCTCCCCCAATGCTTTCCACGTTGATCGATTGGTAGCGGCCTGCGTCCAGCGCTTCCCTGCTATCTTTACGATGTCGTTGTACGGTACGTACACAACTACGATGTAAACCGTGGCGACATCTATCAAAGCGCCCGACAGATAGCGCTAGACCTATATCAGGCAAGTGTATGAAGGTCAATGGCAAGCAAATACAATAATATGCTATACGATCGGCTTTACGGTTTTTTTACTCACTTCCAGACTGATGTTCCTGTGTAAAATGTCCATATTTATTTATTTATATTTACTTCTTGTTCCCAGTCGTCTGTGGACGAAGCAGAGGCGCTTCTCAAGAGACACGAAGAATTAGAGGCTCGTTTAGCGGCGCAGGACGATCGCCTGGCTGCGCTCAAGCAAAGAGCCGCCAACTTACAGCGTGCACAACATTATGCTGCTGACCAGTGAGTATACAATACTCCCAACTGACAATATCACACTAAGAGCTACCCAATAATACTCGCAACAGTGAGAAAACACTCGCAATACCGAAGGAGTTCTCACCGGCACTAATTTATTACTCAGCAAACTACCAACACTACTCTACTGACCAGTGATTACTTACCAACACTTTTAACACTACGCCGCCAACCAGCGAATAATCACTAATACTTCCTCGCTTGTCAGTGAGTGTACTAAGACTAGGCACTCCACTATACAGCGAGTATTAAAGTCCGGTCGCCGAGCAGATAGAATTTCGTCCAATGACCCCAAGCTACCCACAACCTTATTACTCGCGTGTAATTATATGGATGGGTAGCTTGGGGTCATTGGACGAAATTCTATGTGCTCGGCGACCGGACTTTACCAACGATTCGCTGCCGACCAGTGAAATCTCACTAACACTTCCAACACCGCTTCTCTTGTCAACTAGAAGTACCACGCCGCCGGCCATTAAATATTACCTATCCTCGCATCGGCAGTCGGTATATCACTGACACCGTTGGGCTATTGTCCTTTAACTTATTTATTTACACACATGTCACTATGCAATGTGTTTGTCTTCTTACCATCTCTTGATGGAAGTTTATTCTAAACAGCTCTATCACCGACACCGTTGAACTATGGTCGCCTTAATTATTATTTATTTACACACATACTGCGTAATAAGTGTATGAACGTTGATTCTAAACAATGCTTCTCTTCCAGCATCGTAGCGCGGCGCGATGCAGTCGTGCAAAAGCGAGATGCGGTGCGACACGCCGCGGCGGATAGAAGGCGGGCGCTACTCGCCAGCTTGGCGCATCAACAGGTTCGTATTTAAAAACAATCAAGATTACTATGCTAATTGCCAGTGGCGAAACTACCGCCGTATACGACTAGAGACGTATTTTTCTTAAAGGTTTGTTTGTCACCTGTCATCCGATTTGCAATGGAGGAAAGTCGAACCTTAATTTCGAACTCCTCCTATGTTCTTCTGATTAATTTCGTTGCGGGTCCAATGACTGTTTAACTTTCCCCCGGGACAAACTTGACCTTCATTGGTCGGGTTTTTATGGCGGTCAAACTGTAGATCCTGGCTACACAGGAGTTGCAGTGGTGGGAACGAGAGGTGGGAATAGTCCCGTAATAGTATCTTAGATACACTCCAGCATCAAAACACGACCCGAAATAGGGTGCATTAATTCCACTTAGAATTCGTTTCATAACAGTCGCGCATGAATCGTTGTTAATTGCAAAATAATGAAATTAACTGATTAATTTTTATTTTTAGTTCCTCGCAGCTGCAGAAGAACTCCAGAGTTGGATCCAGGACAAAACTAAAACGGCGAAAGATCAGAGCTACAGGTAAATTACGTCTTTGTTATGTTTAAAGATCATAGCAGACTTATTAACTCGGAAAGGGATCAACGATCCCGCGCTATCAACCGCGAGGCGAGGCGTTTACGTTACGTTGCAGAAAGTGTGTGTTGCAGTAGAGTTTCATATAAAGAATACTGACCGCTTCGAGTTGATACGGTTACGATCCCTTTCCGGGTTGATAAGTGTGCTACGTCCTTTAATCTCTTTGAGACAGGCTTTTAAAAAAGTTTTTAAGGAAATATCTCTTTTAATTCGACACCTTCGGTCTGTAGCTTATTCATTTTTACTGAGAACTGTTTATTGTTTAATGGTGTCATCTAAACAATTATTTATTGGAATTGTACTCAATTGAACATTATTAACGATATTGTGATGTTATCGCAGGGATCTCGCCAACTTGGAGCGCAAGCTGCAAAAGCACGAGGCATTCGAACGGGAACTGCAGGCCAACGAGAAACAGCTCAGGAATGTTGAGAGCGTGAGTATTATTTAATACTATATGTATCACAGTACCACTTTCTACAGCGATTTCGCCCGTATTTTGAAAGTTACAAACATTTAAAAGGCTTAGGCCCGTTTTCACCATCAATCCCTAATTTTTAAGTGACCGCTATAGTAACACATAACAGGAATTTTGTATTCATAGGCGTCACTTAAACATTGGGGATGGGTGGCTTAAACATTAGGGGTGAAAATTATTATAAATTGTGTATTATTATTATAAAGAGCTGTGGTTTTCTGAATAAAGAAAAATAAAATAAAAAACGGGCATTATACTTTAAGACTATAAAACTAAAATTGAAACTGATGTCTTTTTTTGAGCCAGTTGCTAAAACTGTCATATAGTCGTTTTATTGTTGTGAATGCTTATACTAAAACGTTTGTTTTTATTTGTATAGAGAACAATAGTGTCTAGACAAACCTAAAAAGGATTTAGGACGCTATTTGGATCAAATATGTAATTGCTCAATAATGAATAATAAATAAATAAATAAATAAATAAATAAATATTATTTTGTTCTTTTAATCGGCCAATCGTTAAATCTATTGTTTTTACTAAAACTTTGATAAAATGATGATAAAAAAATACATATTAATGAGTCCATAATTAAGAAGTCCGCAATTTTTACGGCGGTCATCGTCAGATTTTTTGCATGTTTTCACGCAAAATGAATGGGATCCCTAAAATCTTGTCATTAAGTTAATTTTTGATGGTTTTCCATGTTTATTTTATGAATGTCCTCATTCCCTTAAACTGTCAAGTTGCTAAAACTTAATAATTTTTTCGTCCCTTATGGGTCATTTGCCAAACTCTTTATTATCATGTGTATGTATTATCTTTATTTTGTGTTGTCCCTTAGATCGGTCAGTCCCTCCAGACATCAGACCCGGCTCGCGCGGCGGAAGTATCAGAACAACTGCAGGCGCTTCAGACAGCTTGGGAGCAGCTGGTCGCAGCATCCCGCGATAAGGGCAGCAAGCTGCGGCAAGCTGCGTTACAGAGACAGCACAGGCGGTGAGAAATCACTTATTAATGATTTGGAAAACATACGTCATTATTTTCAGGTTATTTAGTATCCACTGCAGAAACACGGCGTTCTCAAATGGCAATGCCAGATTTTGTATGGAAGGTGGCGTCTTTTTTTCGCGCGGCCATCGACCAAACTTCTAATGCTCGTAACTTAGTTCAAGAATGAGTTTAGAGGTATACATGTCATAGTAGGTAAGTTTGGTTTATTACACTACTAGCTGACCCGGCGAACTTTGTTCCGCTTTAATGGCAATAAATAAGCAGACTTTTTTTTAAATTTCGAACGGGATAAAAAGTATCCTATGTCCTTATCCTGGCTCTAAACTACCTCCCTGACAATTTTCAGCTAAATCGGTTCAGCCGTTCTTGAGTTATAAGTGGTGTAACTAACACGACTTTCTTTTATATATATAGATTTTGTAATCAAAAAACAAGGTTTGTTCGATGGCCTCGCGAAAAAAAAGACGCCAATTTCCAGCATTGTCTTTTACTAGTGGAAAATTCAGGATTTAGCCTACATTCCCTACGCTGGCCAGATAGGTTGGGAAGGCCTGACGTTTGCATATTTATCCTACTAGCGGCCGCCCGCGACGCGTGGACCTCGTTTTACCCCCATATTATAATTAATATTTACGAACATCAAAAACAGTAGTTTGTCCAGCGCTGAAGATTTTAACCAATAACTATAGATGGCACTTTTTAAACACATCTTATTTATTTATTGAAATTTATTTCACACATATCGTTATAAATTATAGCCTATATTTTAATCTGTGTTATAAACAATAATACTGTAAAGTTTCAACAAAATCTGTTCAATAGTTTGCGTGAAAGAGTAACAAACATCCAGACATCATGACATCCTAACTTTCGCCTTAATAATATTAGTAGGATAGAATAGAATAGAATAAAATAGAATAGAATCTATATATATAAAAGAAAGTCGTGTTAGTTACTCCACTTATAACTCAAGAACGGCTGAACCGATTTAGCTGAAAATTGTCAGGGAGGTAGTTTAGAGCCAGGAGAAGGACATAGGATACTTTTTATCCCGTTCGAAATAAAAAAAAAGTCTGCTAATTTAGTGCCATTAAGGCGGAACAAAGTTCGCCGGGTCAGCTAGTAGAATATATTTATTTGTAATAAATGTGGTGATAGTAGGATAGTTGCCTCTTACAACATAAAAAAATAGTTTTTTCTTTCCTCGCAGTAGGTCTAAAACACCTAAAAATATCCACCAAAAAGGTGGACAGATTACCTTCCAAAGGCGCTGGATGCAGGCGCTACCAACTAGCCAATAATAAATCATTGGAGACGCCTATGTTCAGCATTGATTGTCCTAAAATGATGACCTGCAAAACTAGTCACTGATTCTAACTATTATTTGTTTAGTATCAATATCCGGAATCCATCATTGAGTTAGCACCTGTTTTCTTACCTANTTCCGTCATCACCTTGTTGTTCTTTAGCTGTTTGAGAGCCATCCTAATCTCGTAAGGGCTGATGTCCGGGTCGGGATATCTTCGGTATAGTGTCGAGTTAGCTTAGCTCTTGGAACTATCCTGTGGCTGAGCTATTAACAGGTTTGGTGACCGAGGTATAATATAGCTGTCCATATTTTTTTTTCGATCCCACCCAGAACCCTCAGCTTTTGTTGAATTTACACTATCATTCGCTGCCTTCAGCTGGCTTCGCCCATTAGAGTTGTCTCTAGTGAAATTTTGGAGCTTTGGTTCCGCTCTATTGCCTCTTTAATATTATTATTAGTACTAAAGTTGCGAATACATTATCTCAAGGACTTCCTTATCTAAGGACCTATTTTGATACTTAAACGTTTTGAAAACTTAAAATAATTTATGAAAAATTTCAATATCGGAATACGATATTGGCTTCAGTTCCGGAATTGAAATATCGAAAAAAATCTATCCGAAATTCCGGAGTTACGAAATTTCGGAATTCCGGTATTCAAGCCCTAATGGAGACTGCGCTTGAGACGTTAAAGCAAGTACCTGCTTGATTTTTGTTTCAGGTAAGTCCTTCTGTGCAATTTCAGAATAATCAGTGGATATAGGTTTTGTACTATCAAAAGTATTGTCATGAAGCAAAGAGGGACCGTCCCACCACAAACCTGCCGAAGGCAAATCTTCCAACTTGACACCTCGTCGTGACACGAGATCAGCTGGGTTATGTTTACCGCTGATGTGACACCAGGGAACTTCCTTGGTGATCTCATGAATTTCAGATACCCTATTCTGCACAAATGTTTTGAGTAGACTGGGTGTCATGCGTAACCAGCCCAGCACTATTGTTGAGTCGCACCAAAAATAGACACCATCAAAATTGCAACGAAGTGATTCCCTAACTTTTTCGTATAATCGTGCGCCTAATAAATCACCGCACAACTCAAGTCTAGGCATGCTTACAGGTTTGAGAGGGGCCACCTTTCCTTTTGAACATAGCAATCTTACTAAAATATTTGAATCCTTGCAAATTGTGCGCACGTATACTGCCGCACAATTTATAAACGCAGTAAGTAACACTTGGACAGTTTCGAGAAAAACGCAGTCAAAGTTTAAATTTTATTTTGAGGTGTCTACAATAAGATACGCAAATATTTGTAAAAAAAAAATATGGGCTTATAGAGCTAAACTCAAACTTTATTTTGATGTGAGTTTTTTGTATTTTATTTTATATTTTGTATTTAAAATAATTAAAAAACTGTTTATGTTGTGGCTTAACTAAGTTTTCGCTCGATACTTACTACTCATGAATGCAGTATGATTGTTCCTTACACTGCGTTTATGAGTAGTTTTCGTTACCTAAGGTACATATGTAAAATAATTGATGTAAATTTTAGTTCTTACAACATAATACATACGCCGTATCTTTACAACTTACTGCATTTATGAGTGGGGGCATGAATCAAAATAACTTATCAAAACTTTTAGTGTGCAGTAATAATACAATTATACTGCGTTTATCTTAAGCTAACAAAGCTTTCATGTTAAACTGTCCCAAATGACCAAGAGGTAAATGAAACAAGAATTACAAAATAATTGCCGAGATCGCTTTATTATTCAATTAAGAATTAAGATATGGCACCCATTGGATCATTATAAATATACCAATGTAATAACATAAAGACTTTACAAGTCACAAAACAAAAAACACAACTCCGCTTGCATTAAATCAACATGAATATCTTTTTCTTACATAGTTTTTCTTAACTAATCACAGCTTTGATAAATTATTTCTACGAGTAATTAAAAAACCCATCAAAAACAATACTTGTCAAAAAAACCAAGTCTCGCAACTCAGTTGTTCTACGGTAAAAAGTTGTGAGATCCATGTAATACCAAGTCCAGGCCAGGAAATCTTTAACGTTTTACATAAATTATTGACTTGGCCATCGCACTAAATAATTTAATTTACACGTGTTTTCATGCGATGGCCAAGTCAATATATTTATGTAAAACGTTAAAGATTTCCTGGCCTGGACTTGGTATTACATGGATCTCACAACTTTTTACCGTAGAACAACTGAGTTGCGAGACTTGGTTTTTTTGACAAGTATTGTTTTTGATGGGATCTTATTTCTTTCTGTATTTTGTAGACAGCACTTATGTATCTAGAAAACTGGACCGAAATTGAAAAATTTTACTCGACTTGGCGGTTGCACTACCGTGCCCCCAAATATTTTAGTTTTTCCTTGATTCATACACCAAACACTACTTATATTCCAAATTTGAAGCTTCTAGGTCTGCTAGAAGTGCCTTAGAGTTTTGATGATCGGTGAGTCAGTGAGTGAGTCAGTGAGTCAGTGAGTCAGTCAGTGAGTGACAAAATTAAGTAACTTTGACCCGTTATAATTCTTAAACTACTGGTTCAAATTGAATGAAATTTTAAATATACCGTGTCTTTACAATGCCTGCGTAGCTAATGAAAATTCAGCCTTCTAGTTTTATCCACAACGAAGTTACAGGCGGTCGAAAATGGCCTGAATTGCTTCGAGAAAAGGATGGTACGGCCGTGCCGCTTTTTTGCTCGACTTGGTGGGGGCACTACCGTGCCCCCAGATTACTGGAATTATCTTTTATCTATATAATTTCAATCTTGATACAATTCTTGGTACTCCTTCTAGGGCTTAATATAACTAATAAATTAAAGACTTTATAAGTAAAAAAAAATACAACTCCGCTTGTATAAAATCAACATTATAAATGTCATAGACAAATTTTACCACTTAATAATCATATCACAATCATATTTAAACATGTCACTAACATAATTGAGATCTTAATCACAGCTTTAGTAATTAAAATAACTGTATTATATTAAATCTAATTCAATTTCAGTCTAGTTAATACAATTCTAACTCTTTGAGTGGATAGAAAAGTGTTACAAATCTAAGTCAGCAAATTCTGACACAGGCAAATTACAAGTAAAAAAAAACACAACTCCGCTTGTATAACATCAACATTATAAATGTTATAGACAAATTTTAACACTTAATAATCATATCACAATCATTGATATTTAAACAATGTCACTAACATAATTGAGATCTTAATCACAGCTTTAGTAATTAAAACTAGCTTTGGTCGCCCGCTACGCGGGCTACAAAAGCTAGATCTGCGATGCTGGCCGCTCCGGGCTTCGCCCTACGCGGCGCTCGGCCTGCGGCCTCGCATTCGGAGCTCGGCCTTCGGCCTCGCAAAAATTACACGGGGCGTTTATCGTTTGTCGCAAGGCTCTTTTGCTTTTTTGAAGTAACACAAGTTTAACTGTGGTAACTCTCGGGATAACTGTATTATATTAAATCTCATTAAATTTCAGTCTAGTTAATACAATTCTAACTCTTTGAGTGGATAGAAAAGTGTTACAAATCTAAGTCAGCAGATTCTGACACAGGCAAATTACAAGTAAAAAAAACACAACTCCGCTTGTATAAAATCAACATTATAAATGTCATAGACAAATTTTAACACT